TGTTCCTTGCTTTGGCTTCTTCATGCTGCTCCCATGGCAAATAAGGGCTGTAATTGAGTCAAAGGGACTGGGGAAGAATTCCCCTAGTGTAAGAGTGTGCCTAGGCTACCCTCCTCTCAGCCGTGGGACTCTTGCTGCGCTGGCTGTGAGTTGAAAGGGAATCCTGCATAGCACTGAGTGCTACAGAGATTTGGGGTTGTGGATCATCCCAAAGGCAGCACCGGCAAGGCTGCTGGAGGTTAGAGACGCTCTGCAGATGTGCAACACAGAGTGTGTCTTCTCACCTGCAGGTCTCAAGGTGCTTTACCAAGGTGGGTAAACGTTATCAGCCGTATGTTACAGATAAGGAAACAGAGGGGAAGTGACTCAACCAAGGTCACAGAGATTATCAGTAGCATGGTCGGGAACAGAACACAGGTCTCTTGATTCAGTTTTATCACCAACCACTAGGTCATGGCTACCTTACGGGCTGAATAGCAGGAAAAAAATCTCCTAACCCTGAGTACTCTAAGACAGTGACATATTCTCTCAAGGGAAGTGGTGGAAGCCCCATGCTCGGGTCTTTTACAAGTTAATACTAGAATGGACAGAGCCCTGGACAATGTGCTGCAAGAAATGAGCTAGCACTGGCCCCAGATGTGACTTCATAGCTCGTTCCCAACTCTAACTTTTATGGGTGAAATGCTCCCCCACTGAAGTCACTGGCAAGACTCCTATTGAGTTGAATGAGGCCAGGATTCTGCAATCTACTATTATCACATTGCCACTGCCTAGCCACGCAGGCATGCTGTTCAGCACTGCACTGTAGCTGCATGGGGGTATATGGAAAATGTTGGGTTATGTTCTGCCCCATCTTATGTCCCAGGCAACTTTACTGATTGTACGGGTTCACTTGACTGGGGTAGCGAACGAATCAGGACAGAATTTGGACTATTGTGTACAACGCTGACATGCTTGCAATCATCATCTGACCCGTTACGCTCGTGTTGTGGAATGGGGGGTAAGGAGAATCAAACATTGAGACATTCAATAGGTACTGAGGGCCCAACTTCCCTGCCCAGTTAGTTTGGGCGATAATTTGGTGTCCCTCCAGCAGAAATACAGCTCATTGACCACCATGGTAACACTAAGTACCTGGCATAGGCTACCCAGAAGGGTCAGGAAATTCAGAGAGGCTTCTGAAATCCCATCTTTAACAAGGCATCACAAGCAAGTCCTAATTCACGGCTCTCAAGTCATCTGCTTTTCACCACAGCAAGTGAAGCCAGGAAACCAAACCAAACCAACCCCCCCGCCCCGACACAATCATCTTGTAACAGAAAATGTTTCTACACTGAAAACTTGTATGCCACATATCGGGCTGCCTAAAACAGGTGAACTGGAGCCAATAGGTTGAACGTGGGGCTGGACACTTGGAACTGCTGCAGTCTAATCCTGTCTCTGACACTGACCCGCTGGATGACTTGGGTAAGTGTCTTAACCATGCTGGATAAAGTGAGGCTTAATAATAGTTACCTTCCAGGCATGTTGAGGGTTAATTAGCTCTTTGTACAGCATTAGGCATGGGTGGTAAGAGATTATAATTATAGACCACTCAGAAAGGAGGTTATACTAGAACCAACAAGAGAGTATTAACAGCAAAATCCTGCAATCGCTGACAGTCCTCAGCCCCAGGGATGGTGGCTGCAGGGAGGGCAGGGCTCACAAGGCCCGCACAGACCCAAAGCAGTTGTGCAGCCCTTCCTAATATAATAAACAATAAGGGCTGATTATCCATTTATTAGAGCGAGCTCATGTGATGGACTCTGAGATGTCTGATTTAAAGCTTGTTTCTCTGCCTCCTGGGCGAATGCTCGGCATTAGCCACACTTACAAATCAAGTCAGAGCCAAGGGGCTGGCTGGCTATTCTCGGTCCAGCAACACCAATCAAAGCTGGATTGAATTAAACAACAACAACCGAGGCACACAGAACACTCCCTGAAGATTAATGACTAGCTGAGGAGTCCAATGGAAACCTGGGGTCAATTACACCCAGCGGGAATTATTCAGGAAATGCTGAGGGCTGGAGGCTGTTGTTGCTGTTATAACCAGGATAAACATACAATCCAAACTCCCCCAGGCAGCAGAGAGTCACTGCTCTGCTCCAGGGGGACACGTTTCAATGGGCCTGCTGCATTGTGAGTCATTTCTAAGGAAAAAAACATGCAGCATCCAACCCTCAGTCTACTCAGAGCTTCCATCAGGGTCATCACGTTAATTGCCTGTGGGGGGCACAGGGCCAAAGCTAAACAAGGGAGATTCACATAGATGCGCAGTATAAACGTCCACACTGGGCAGCATAAAGCATAAACCAATACCCAGCCGTGGGCCTGACTTCACCATGGCATCTCTCCTATTCAGAATATGCACCAGGGTCAAGGGATCTGCAGCACATTTAATTTTTAATGGAACCCACCATTATCAAACAACCCCTCTTGGTTTTTAGGTATGGCCCACGTTCAAGAGGAATAATTTAACTCCACGCAAAATGCAAAGTCGTTCCATGGAGCAAAGAGAAAGGACTCAGCCAGGAGGAGCAGACAGATATGTTTCTTCCACCCCCACCATGTTGTAAATATTAGGAGCCTTTTGTGCAAAACTCATGGCTAAAGTGAGTTCTTCCCTAAGACAGACCCCTGGAGTAATCCTGACCTATCCTGCTGAGGAAATCCACTACACATGCCCTGTCGTGCAGCAGAATAAAGCTGCATTCCTTTAAACAGAACTGATGATTTGTGATCAGTTCCTTCGAGTCACTCAGTCATTTTCAACAATCATATGGAGCAGATTCTGCTTCCAGGAGATGTCCTCCAATGGGAACAGGATCAAACCCTAAATTACTTTATAGGTGGCTAAGCAAAATATATGAAACATTTTTGCCAGAAGCTCTCACGAGCTGGTCATTGTATTCCTTTTAAAACAATTATTTGCTCTGTCACTATCACTGATGATGTTGTAGAGCTGTTGGAAGTGCCTTATTAGGCCCTGACTGAATACAGCACTTTAGCATGAGTCGGCCCATAGGGCTACTTACTTGCTTAAAGTTAAGCACATTCTTAAGTGCTCTGCTCATTCGGAGTCTTTAGAGGTTTATTGTGGTCTGAGATTTATGGGTCTAATCCTGGAAGCTCTTGAATGCATCCTGCAAAGCCACAGAAGGAATTGAGGACACCTAGGCACCTGGCAGGATCAGGCTCTCCACGAGAGGCAACAGAGCAGAAAATGGGGCAGTTATTTATTTACTTTTTTACTTCCGCACGTCCACTGACACCCAGGCCGATAAATCACCCAGCCATGTTCCCAGTGGTCAGGATTACATTTCTGCTCGTTACCGGAGTTAATTCACAACAAAGCCACAGACACAGTCAGTTTTGTACAAGTCAGATACATTGCCAAAGTATTTCTTACCGAGAGTGTTTGAAAAAGAGAAACTCTTCTAGTTGGAGCCACATTGCGTTTCGGGTCCTAACGCTGCTTGCCTCACTGACATGAATAGCCTCGTGGAAGTCAATGGTGGTGTCTAGACTGGGCTTCTTTTCTTAAGATTTCCCCACTTCTCCCACCATCGGTTCACTTTCTCCCACAGAACTAGAGCAGACAAGGTGCCAGCGGCCACTGGCATTGTTAAGCACCATGTTGCATAGACTTGGTCTGCACCAGCGTTGCATTGTGGGTATCTCTGGTGGTAAACTTTAGCCAAAATAACCTGGTGTACACAAGTCCAGTGGAACTAGTCATGTGAGCAAGGCAAGGGCGATTTGGTCCTTAAACTGCAGGCGAGTGCTTTTTGTGAATGGCCCCTCTCCTGTCCCCATTAAAGTCAAGCGGGCAGATTCTCAGCTTGGGTCAGATGAAATAAATGAAGCGGAACCAACTGACACCAGCTGAGGATTTGGCCCAAGGGCTGGCCATTCGACCTCCAAGAGAGGAAAATCAGCCACCATTCTGAGCTGGTGTTTTTTTGGTGGGAGTGGGAAGTTGTAAAAATCATCGTGGGGTTGATATTATATTATATATATCTGTATCTCACACATAATATTCAGATGTGTGCGTATATATACTTAAATATACGTCTCCACACACACGCTGTACACACTAGGCATTGATCTATTTGTCTGCAACTATTTATAAGCTTTTGATTAAAACAAAAGTACATGATAACAAAATTTGTGAGCACTGCTCTTCTGATCTCTACCAAGAGTTAACACAGACATTAGAAACTTCGAATTTCATTTTCCTGGTTGCTTAAAGGCACTTTTGCTTAAGATGTGCAGTAGCAGTGTTAAAAAAAAGCTAAACTGCTTCAATTCCCACCAGCTCTGGGACGAATGCTACACTGCAGCATCATTACAGTGCAAATTGACTGCAAACGCTACGTAGCATTTGATCCCGTTTGCTTTGCAGTTCAACACTGATTGGGGGGAAAAAAAGGATACAACATTTACCTCAACGCTAATCACTCAGGGTCGCGTACATTCTTTAAAATATGGCTACTGTGCTTCTGACAGTCTTCATGTTCCATTAATGCCTGGTTAGAACTCATGGCTGCAATCTCTGTTGCGTTCATCTCCAATGACTGCTTGTTAGTGCATGTAAGAATCCAGGCAGGAAACAAGCCATGCTAGTCGATCGTGGCAGTTTATGCAACATGTCACCGTTTTCCCCTTTAACGGAGGAATTCAACTTAATTTGAGGAAGGACATTTAGTAATTAAACAGTTCTCAATACAAGTACAGTACTATAGCCTCATGATGCAGAACATGAGTTGCTCGGGGTAGTCAAGACTTTTCTTCTGAATGATCAACAGAGTCCCCTTCCCGCCAGCCAGCTCGCTTGTCAGTCCAGTCTCTGTCGCAGAGAGCCTGCAGTGGGTCATCCTGGGCAAACAGCTAGTGAGTGACATAAGAAGAAAGGCTGTTACTCCCACCCCTAAGCAGTGCCGGGGGGGGCACAGTTTAGCTCGATGGAGGTTCCCAGAGAGAATATGGACTAGGCAAGAAAGGGAGTGTCTTTGTTAACACACCAGAAGACATTATTCAAATGTAACGTTTGAAACAACTCATCCTTCAGCTACATTTACTCCCACGTACAAATTGTGCCTGTGCTCCGTGAATTGAATTCTAGACAATGCTGGAAAAAAACCAAACCTCCACTTATATTGCCCTGTCTGTGAGCTACGGTCAAGCACCCAATTATATCCATACAGAAGTCTTTCCGTCTTTGCTGCTAGAACTACCTTTTTCTGAACTGGCTTTGGGCTTAGCGCCTTGTTTCTCATGGGCAGTATTGACCCTGTTCTGTTCTACCACAGTCCCACCTGAAGGTGGGCTACTGGTTCTGGAAGGCTGCATGTTGGCCTGAGTGGCATTGTAGCTCTGGAATGCTATGTCTAACTGCTCCTGGGCCACCCTCAAGTGTTTATGAAGGGTGGACAGATCTGGCGGGATGTTCTCATCTGGGCTTGTGCACTGTTGTTCTTGAGCAACGTTAGCCAAGTTCTGCTCATGGGCCAACAAGCTATTTGGGACCTTTGCGGGCTTCTCCGATTTCACGACCAGGTTATACTCGGGAGGGCAGGAGATATTCTTCGAGTAGGAATAGTTGTATGGAGGCTGCCTGAAACTATTAATCTTTCTGTTGCGAATGGCATCTCTAATGGTCCCAAACCCCAAGTGGAACATTTCACACATGTTGAGCAACAGACACAGGCAGCTCACAACATACATCACCAGGAGGAAGATGGTCTTCTCTGTCGGCCTTGACACAAAGCAGTCCACGGTGTGAGGGCAAGGGGCTCTGCTGCAGACGAAATATGCTTCCACCTCAAAGCCATAGAGAAAATACTGCCCAACCAAGAAACAAACTTCAAATGAAGCTCTGGCAATGAGCTGGAAGACGTAAATCTTCATCAGCCCTTCTTGCTGGATGCGTTTCCTCCCGTCGTGCTTCTGCTGCTCCTTGCTCTTCTTATTTGCTTTGGCTTTCTCCTCATTTTCCACCGTGTTATCGGAGATCATGGGCTCCTCTTCGTCTGCTTCCAAAGGGTCTTCCAAGTTACGGACAGCCTGCCAGTTCAAAGCAAACTGCTTCTTCTTCTTCTTGAGTACCTTAAGCCTCTTCTCCTCCTCGGAGGACCTAGCGATCCTGTGGATGGCATAGCCCAGGTACATGATGGAAGGGGTTGAGATCATGATGATCTGGAAGACCCAGAACCTGACATGTGATAGCGGTGCGAAGGCATCGTAGCAGACATTGTCACAGCCTGGCTGCTTGGTGTTACACGTGAATTTGCTCTGTTCATCTGAGTATATGGACTCCCCTCCGACAGCCGTCAGGACGATACGGAAGACGATCAGCACGGTGAGCCAGACCTTCCCCACAAAAGTGGAGTGATTGTGAATTTCTTCTAGCAGACGGGTGAGAAAACTCCAGCTCATGTTGGTCATAAGGGCTAATCATTTATAACCTGCAAGAAAAGCAGGAAGAAAAAACATAACGTATAAGTTAATGCAGCTCTGTTTGGTCATAGCAACAGACCTCATTATAATAGTGGCATTGGTACATAGCAGGATGATATCAGAGTGAAGTTATTTTATTCCAGAGATCAGCATCACTATTATGAGAGGCTCAGTAGAAGTGGAATTGTAATTTGTACATTGCAAGTCACTGAAACAATTGATATCACTATACCCAAGCTCATTATAAGTCGTTTCCATTATTTGCACAAATAAGTGCAGTGCATTGGATATGTTTAGGCCTGATCTTATAGTGAACTCCCATGGACAAAGCCCTCCAGTCAATGGGACTCCGTGTGGGTTGAGAGGTCTGTCCATTCATTGCAGGATCACGGCCTTATACTACCAACAAACCGATGGCCATTTAGGAATCTCACAATTGTCACTATGCTGCATGCCACCATTACTTTGAACTTGATGACGTGGGGACAGAGATCTGATTCTCCTACTCCAATAGCAGGTCCCCCTACCACTTGAGCTAAATGCTAGCTGAGACTCTCCGTTAGCCATACAGATCCTATGACACAGCTGAATAGCTATGATTCTACCAGTGGAGTGCCTAACATGCTAGTAGTCAATTACAGTATATAAGAGATAGTCAATAGGAGCGTAAACACTGAGAGCATAGGTATCTGTACACATTACACACACAAAAGCTACACTAAAAGAACATTATTAAGGTTGCAAAATCAAGCAGTCAAAGGTAAGGAGATGCCAGAATTAAGGTCGCCTGTGCAACCTTAACTTGGCCCCCTTGTGCATATGCATTATGATACAATCTTTAATCACAAGATCACATACTATATTTTCCACAGAACCAGGGGTGGTGCTGGAGGCAGGGGATTTACCAAGGACAGGGGTGGCTCTATGTATTTTGCTGCCCCAAGCACGGCAGGCAGGCTGCTTTCGGTGGCATGCCTGCGGGAGGTCCGCCGCCGAATTGCCGCCAAATCCACAGGACCGGCAGACCTCCCGCAGACATGCCGCTGAAGGCAGCCTGACTGCCGCCCTCATGACGACCGGCAGGCCGCCGCCCCAGGCACGCGCTTGGTGCGCTGGTGCCGCCCCTGACCAAGGAAATACTGTTTGAATGTAACCAGAGAAATCTATCTATGGTACCCGTAGCAACTGCCATTCTCCGACTGAAGGCAGAGCAGAGAGAGCTGGCCTGCCCGGGCTGGGGACGGGGGTGCCCAAGAGCAGTCTCTGGCCTATGTCCCCGCCCACTGGGGCATGCTGCCCAGGGCAGCTCCCTGCCAGCCCCAGAGTTAGGTCCGCCACCGCTTGGGTGGCTCTTACCCGTGGTGGCTGCGAGCACTGCCCTGCTCTGGCTTCCGATGGGGCCAGAGGGCGAGGCCACGGGAGGGAGAGGAGGAGCAGAAGGTAGGGCCACGGAGAGGGGTAGGGCCTCGTGGCGAAGGGGGGCTAAGGCCCACCTCAGCCTCCCCACTGTGAAGAGCTGGTGCTGCCCCTGCATAGAACCCCTGCCTCATTCAATGCACAGGAGGGGCCTGTTCTGGGGAGCAATCAGGGGTGGGCAGTGAAGGGTTCTCCTAGCTGTAGCATTCCTACTTCATTTACTGTGGAAGCTGGAAGGTGTGTAGTGAATGAGACAGGGGATCCCAGCAAGAGAAAGGACAGTCACATGGTTATGGCAGCTGAATGCTGCCCTGGGGAATTGGATTCTCTCCCTGCCTCTGCCACAGAGTTCCTCTGCAGTGTTGGAAAGTCACTTAACCCAAACTTTTCACGCGTGGTCACTACTTGTGTGTGCCTCATTTTCTGGGAGCCCAACTTGAGACTCTGGGGTCTGATTTGCGGAAGTGCTGAGCACTCACAGGTGCCTTGAACAAATAAAATGCTATTTAATGCTGAAGAATCAGGTCCTAGTCGTCTCACCCAAAGTTACACTTTTAATCTGAATCTCTCTGTGCCTCACCCTTCCATCTGTGAAATGGGGATAACACCACTCCCCCACCTCCCAGGGGTGTTGTGAAGATAAATTAATTAATGTTTATGAAGCACTGGATACTACAGTGATGAGCACCCTGGAAAAGCTCACAAGGAAATCAATAAGAGCAAGGTTTGAATAGTGTGTGGTAAATAAGTCATGGGGCTGCACATGGAACGACTGAATAGCCGCTCACTAAGTAGGCACTGTCCAGGCTGCTCACTGAATGAGGCCGAGGTTCTGTGGAAAAAACAGTATGGGATCATGTAATTAAAGACGGAACCTTTAGATCCACCACACAGAGCTCTGCCGCGTGAGCCAATGGAGTTGCTGACGGCAGGAGTAGGTTGTCATGCTCTGCGTGGACCAGGCTCCCAGAGGGACGAGATGCATGCTTTGCCGGTGGGTTTCACGGATATTGTGGACAGCAGGGAAACGGCGAGACTCAGGAATCTGGGTTCCAGTCCAGGCTCTGGACGGGAGTGTGCTCTAGTGGCTCGGACTCTTCTGCCCATTCCCCACAAACCTGACCCCTTCTGCCCTGTTCCTCCAACCTGCCCCAGTCCTGGCTCTTCCCCATCCCTGGCTCCTTGTCTACCCAGTCCCAGCCTCCCCCTCTGGGCTAGCTATCCAAGTCCCTGTATCTCCTCCTCCCCACACACCCCTCACATGGCCCCCATCACTGCAGTATCTGAGCAGCCAAGAATTGTTATCCTCACAACACCCAGGTGAGGCAGAACGGTGTTGTCATCCCCATTTTACAGATGGGGAACTGAGGCACGGAGAAGCTAAGTGATGTGCCAAAGGTCATGCAGGAAGTCTGTGAAGCAGCAGGGAATTGAACATGGCTCTCCCAAGTCCGAGTCAACTACCCTAACCACTGGCTTGTCTTCCCTGCTCTCTCACATTTCTATCACTGGTTCCCAGACCCAGTCTCCCCCAGCCTGCAGTCCCAGTCTCCTTGCCTAACCTGTACCAGCCTCCCCTCCCTGCAACTACCAGTCCCAGCCTCCTCACCCAACTAATTCCAGATGCCTCTCCCTCCACGGCTCTGTCTCAATCTCCTTTCCATTCCAGTCCCAGCCTCCTCTCTCCTCCCCACTCCAGCTCCCAGTCCCAGCCTCCCCTTCATCCTACGGTCCTCAGTCTCCTTGCCCAGCCAGTCCCAGTTTCTCTCCCAGCCAATCCCAATCTCCCCCAAATCCCAGCTGCAGTACCATAGATAGATTTCTCTGGGGACATTCAAACAGTATTTCCTTGGTAAACAACCACTGCAAGCCCCTCAGGGCAGGGACCATCTTTGTGTTCTATGTTTGTACAGCTCCGAGAGCAGCTGGGGCCTGGTCCATGACTCGGGCTCCTAGGCACTGCTGGAATGTAAACAGTAAACAATAATCATGTTTGGATGCATGTGTCAGAAGATGCAAGTACTCAGAACCAGCTGCGGTGAGCTTGGGGATTTCAGTTTATGGAGGTGGCACGCCTATTGGTTTTAACCTCATTTGCCTCAGACCAGAGTCTTGAAACAGGCTGCAAGTTTTGAGATCCCATACATTACTATAGGGCAGTGGAGAAAGTGGGTGTGTCAGAGTTCCCCGCATTCTGAACTGGCAGCGATCCTACACTATCCTGCTCGCCCGTGCCACTCGGGCAGCAGTTGATACAGGAAAGAATGAATTACGGACCTGATCCCGAGTGGTGCTGCAGGGCTAGAGGATGTTCAGCATCCTGCAGAATCCAGCTCTGATTCCTGAAGCCCGTTTTGTAAACGAGCCAAGAAACACAAAACCAGGCAAACGAGAGCAGGATTTTTTTTTTTTTCAGAGTAATGGAGCTTTTTAAAACCCTTTGGAAAACCATATGCTTAAGACAGTTTAAATCAAATAAAAACCCCTGAAAGAATCACACATAAAGCAGTCACTTAAAAGCATGTGAGTTTTGCAAGAGGCAGATGACTGGGAAGGAACAGTATATCATTATTATACAGATTTGGGGTTAGCATTAGCTTTATTTTTAATAGGGCCTCCCCACTTTCTCTTTTCAGAGCACAGCTACTCAGACACACGGATAAAGGCAAGGAGACATTACTGCCTGATTTGCAAGTGCACCTCATTAGTGCAAGCTCCGGACCTCTAAAATAGTAGTGCCCACAGCATCCATGGGGGGGTAGTTACAGCAGAGCACTTTGCTGTGCACTGCTATTCACACCCCCTTGGTCTGAACTGTGAGGCAGTGTAGATGTGCCCTCCGCTGGACGTTTTCCAATTTTTCCACATACTTTTTGTAGTGTGGGGCACAGTACTCAGATGGGGCCTCACCAATGCCAAATAGAGGGGAATGATCACGTCCCTCGATCTGCTGGCAATGCCCCTACTTATACAGCCCAAAATGCCGTTAGCTTTCTTGGCAACAAGGGCACACTGTTGACTCATATCCAGCTTCTCGTCCACTGTAACCCCTAGGTCCTTTTCTGTAGAACTGCTACTTAGCCACTCGGTCCCTAGTCTGTAGCAGTGCATGGCATATTTATACCATGTTTGAACTTGTATTCACTCTGGAAGAGTCTGAATCACTTTCTTTCTTTCTTGATCTTTTTCATGGGTAGGGGGCTGAAGCACATGACTTATGAGGAGAGGCTGAGGGAACTGGGATTGTTTAGTCTCCAGAAGAGAAAAATGAGGGGGGATTTGATAGCTGCTTTCAACTACCTGAAAGGGGGTTCCAAAGAGGATGGATCTAGACTGTTCTCAGTGGTAGCAGATGACAGAACAAGGAGTAATGGTCTCAAGTTGCAGTGGGGGAGGTTTAGGTTGGATATTAGGAAAAACTATTTCACTAGGAGGGTGGTGAAGCACTAGAATGGGTTACCTAGGGAGGTGGTGGAACCTCCTTCCTTAGAGGTTTTTAAGGTCAGGCTTGACAAGGCCCTGGCTGGGATGATTTAGTTGGAGATTGGTCCTGCTTTGAGCAGGGGGTTGGACTAGATGACCTCCTGAGGTC